GTCTATAGGAACAGCTTGGACCACAAAACACACAACCTTCTGAGATGACCAAGTCCAGAGTCTGATAACCCTAGAGCTGTGCTGCATCAAACAGGGAACCCAGACCTTCCTGTCAACCATTTTAGGTAAAATTCTTTGGTAAGCACTCAAAACAATTCTCTGGGAGAGACATTGCTCTGGAGTCTTTTTTTTTTTTTTTTGGTACCGGGGATCGAACTCCGGTCCTTGCACTTGCAGGGCAGGCGGCAGAACCACTGAGCTAAATCCACGGCCCAACTCTGGAGTCTTGATGAGCACTGATGGTCCTGTACACCAGCTGGGTGAATATAGCCATGAATGGGAATGATGTGGCTTCATAAGCAGCAAGCAGACCATAGTTTCTACACTGTCTTGGCTTCAGGGCAGAGAATATCTGCTATTGGGTCCCTGTGGAGTTCTTCTCAGAGTCTGTATTAGTCAGATTTTCATTGCTGAAACCATATATCCAACACTCACAACTTAAAGGAGGAGATGTTTAATTTGGCTCATGGTTTCTGGGGATTCAGTCTATGGCTAGATAGTTCCAAGGCAGGGACATCATGGCAGAAGGGCATGGTGGAGCAAAGCTGCTCAGTTCATGTCAGCTGGAAAGCAGAGCAGAGCAATAGTGCCAGAGAGGAAGAAATGAGGGACCAGATGTAGACACCAAGGTCATGCCTCCATGATCCACTCAGATAAACTCAGAAGTGTGCTTTACTAATTCCCTGAGTAGCTCCCAAGCCAATTAAGTTGGCAGTCCACCTTCGCCATCACAGATTCCCTCCCACTGTCATGAGCTCTTTCTTGGCACAACAATAAAAAACAATAAATTTGTGTGTGTGTGTGTGTGTGTGTGTGTGTATGTGTGTAAAGATTCATTATTACTTTCCATTTTATGTTTACTCATATTATTTACTATCTGTGGTCACTTAGCAGTCTTAGGGAACAAATTATTCATGGTATCTGAAAAACAGAAAATCCAGCAACTCATACCAGCAGATTTTTTTTTTTTGCAGTAGATGGTTTTATTCCTCTTCTCGTACTCAACCTTTTGAGCTAGCCAGGGCTAGATTCATTCTTCTTTCTCCTGATGATAATGTTTTTATCCAGGTAATAAACTGCTTCATCCATCCAAGGATCTTGAACCTTTGGACATGGATTCTTTCACCCAACATTTTTTCAACCAACCTTTCCAGGGGACTCTGGAAGGTGGACCCTACATCCACTTTATGGATCTCATCTCATTTCTCCTGAGCCAAGAGAGGAGCCTTAGACGAGGGTGTGGAGTGTGGTGAAGATTGCCCTGCAGAGTCAAGCTCAACTTGCCACCCTACATTCCCCTAAGGAATTCTGATGCCAAGTGTGCTCACCAGTAGTGCCTGACAGTCTGGGTATCTAGTTGAGCCTGAAAACAAAGATATCCCTGGTTACACCCTCCATCTGGTTCTCTCTGCAGAAAGACCCCCCCCCCCAATATTTTTACACTCACTTGTGCAGTGCTATGTGTTTATCACCTAGTGACTGGAACACTACAGAGGAGGATACTTAAATTTTCACCCTTAAAACCACTATTTTCATCACTAATCATAATCACCATCATCAAAGCTTACCACTGCAACCACCAGTAGAATCTGTTTGTGGATTCTAACCGCTGCCCATCACCTAGCACTCCCTTCTGGAGACCACATAGATCCTTTATATTTCATCTCCCAACATTTTCTCCGGTGGATAGTCAGCCTCTCCTAGAAAAACACAGAACTGAGACTCTTATTCTCCTGCCCCAAACAGCCTAAGATAAATCCTTCATTCTCAACATTCCATAATCTGAAATAATCCTTGCCCCCAGGGACATGTTCTAAAATGGAGTTAACTCCAATTATAACTGATAAAATGTTAGAGCAGTCTGAAATCTTTAAGGTTAGTCTACATGTCAATCTATCTGATCACTGTTGGAGATGGCATCAAAATCCACTAGGGTCCCTATGTGTTTCTCTCTCATCCAATGCCTGTCTTGAAGTTGTCACCTTATTGCCTAAGAGAACGAACAGATTATGGTGTGGCTTTGCATCCTGGGAAATTGTCTTCCTACAATTAAAGAAGAAAGGAAAGATAAAGTGAAAGCTCTCCAAATTTAGCCCACACTTCTCCCAGAAATTAAAGGACTGAGTGCCTCATGTGCATAAAAAGAGAAAGAATAGAGAGATAGAAATGGGTGGAGGAAGGCAGGCAGGGAGAGAGTAGCCAAGAAAGAGACAGAGGAAGAGGTGGTGACATGGAGCCCTGCTTAGAGAGACACTCCAGGAGCAGGAGATTCCAGAGCTCCACACAGTCCAAAGCAGGAGTGCAAGGTGGCTCAGAGCCACAGTGAACTAACCTGTTCATGAGGTGTCTTAGTCACTTTCCTTGGTGCAGGGACTCAATACTCACAACTTCAAAGAGGAGAGGTTTATTTTGGCTCACATTTTTAGTCCATAGTTGGCTGGCTTGAAGGCAGAAAGGCATGGTGGAAAGGCCTAGGCAAGAGGAAAGCAGCTCACCTCATGGCAGCCAGGAAGGAGAAAGTGAAGGGAGGACTGGGGAAGGAAGATACACCCTTCCAGACCATACCCCTAGTGATCCACCTCTTTTGGCCAGGTCCACCTTCCCCGAGTCCCAGCTGTGAACACATGATGCTCTCGAGGGTTATCTCAGATCTAAACCGTAATATAAAGCTTCACCCAGAAGTAGGCTCAGGTGCACTTGAAGTCACAGGTGGCACCTGCAAATATCCCATAAGTGACGCCGTGGGACTCCTGCTGTCTGAAGGAAGAGGGGGAATGAAAGCAGCACTGGACTGTGAGTTGGGAGATCTTGCTTCTAAACTGAGCCAATTAGCTTGAGCATCCATTTTTTTCAGCTTCAAACCAAGGAGGTTGTACTAGATGATTGCATGGTCTCTTTTGTGTTCAACTAAGTCCTTGAATCTGTGGGGGACATCAGTGGTAGAGTGTATTTATGCTCCTCTCTCTTGCCCACACTTCCCCCCAGAGAAGGAGACACATACTTTGTTACCCCCACAACCCTATGGATGGTGGGCTTATTGATCACTTGCACTGGCCAAAAGGCTGTGGGCAGAAGGGACATTGTACCAGTTGAGCAGAAGCTTTGAGAAGCATCCAACCATCCAAGCTTCATCCAACCATCTTGTGCATCTGCACTGTTAGGAGAAGAGCACACCCCAGTACCCCTGCTGTTTTAGTCTGAGTCACAGCAGAAGACACTGGGATCAAGCCCAAAATTAATGCATGCTCAAAAGCTAGGGCCAGTCCAGCCCAGCCCAGCAGAGCCTCAGCTATTTTGCAAACCTATGAATTGGAAATAAATGTTTGTTGTATGGGACTGTGATTTTTGGAACTCTTTGTTACTGCAGCCAAAGCTGACTAATATACTACGTGACAAGAAAGTCATAGAGGCACACCACAGGGAATGATCTAACCTCTCTGAAGGAGAATGAAGGGCAGCTGGAGGGGCCCCCATAGGAAACCTTCCATGCCAGAGCTGCTATAATCCTCCATATGGAGACACACCTGGCTTTTGGCATCAACAACCCAGGCCTCAGCAGGTGTAGGAAGGGAGTTTAGTGGGATGGAAAAGTAGGTTATAATGAATCAGAGTTGAAGTCCTCTCTTCTCACAGTCTTCCACACCTAAGTTGTCTGTTTTCTCTTTGCCTGGGTGCTGTAATTAAAAGCCTCTTGAACTAAAGATTGATATATTGATTTAGTTAGCATAGAGAGGTGAAAGTTGGCTTAATTAAATTTAGAAGTTCTAGCATCACTGGTCTATGACTGCTGCGATCAGTATGCAAATCTCCAGGTCTTTCTGATTCCTAATATTAAAGGACTCCAAAGAAATTCACATTAACATCATCCTAGACAAATTCTAGCTAATAGATGTTTTCCTGCCAAACAGAACACTGTATGAAGCACACGCACTACGACCCAGGAAAGACAGCTGGGGAATTCGAATTCTCCCATTACTGTGGCTTAGAGGGTACGCTGAGAGCTCCAGGTTAGCCAGTGCTTATGCTGATATACATTTACACTGCATCAACACTGAAGGTTGCTAACCTCCATTTCAGTCAGAAACTAGGACCATTCGCCACCTTCTCAGTTGCTTGGATCAAGCTTTTGGAGTCAACAGGACAAACATCTGTTGGAATAAAAAGGACCCAGCCCTCTGCCAACCAAGGTAGAAGAGAAAAGGAACATAAATTTGGGGGGATAGGGTAAGGAAAGAAGTAGGAACAAAAGCAGAATATCCCAAATTTTTCTAAAAACACTGCAAAAACAGCCTTTTAAACAAAATCTTACTTGGAACAGAAATATATGCAACTAGATAAAAGCATAGAAGTTGAGAGTGAAGCAGGGGTGAGGATTCAGAGTCTGTCTGTGTAGCATTCTATTTCCCACTCCCAAAGGTGCCTCCCGAGCTATGTGTAGAACACAATTTGAAAACCCCTGGGCTAGAGAAATTTGGATCATTGGACAGACTTATAGAAATAAAAGGTGAGAAGCAGACACCATCATGCCCGTTTCTGGGTACTCTTCTGGGAATAGAGTGGAATTAACTGTACAGACATCCCTTGTCATGGGTTGGCAGCTACAGGGCACACAAATAAGAAGATGCCTTCCACATCCTGCTTGAGACAGATGGACTGACCGACTAACCTTTCTCAAATCTTAGAAGCAGCCTTCTTATCCTCATCTTCTGTTGGGCAAGGCAGATTTTTCTAGGAACAGTTTAGAGCTTCCTCCTTTGCTCTGTGTCCTCTATCTACCCATCCAGCTCTCCTACCTCCTCTGTGCCCGGTCCTGAGCTTCCAGGTCTCAAGCTTGGTGCCATCTCTGCTTTGGCCTCCCAGGGGAAGGGATCCCGAGGGATGGATCTATCTTATCATCATGTGGCTTTCTACTTCCCATGGAGACAAGCCCCCAGACCCACCTATGCACACCACGTCCATGAAGCCATACATCCCGTAGCAGATCTGGAAGAGGAGGTCTTGGCGCTGCCATTTTGCTGAGGGACTGAAGGTCGACCAGATGAGCCAAGAGATACTGGCGATGAGGAAGAGAGAGCCCAAGATGGCAGCTGCAATCTGAACCTTCTCGATGACTGTCAGAGAGATGGCCTGCCACTGGGGAGGAGAGAGTGGCAGGTTAGCTGTTGCTTGGATGCTCCCCCCCTTCCCTTCCCTCTTCTGCTGCTCCAACAAGTCACCTCTGAAATCAGACTTAAACCAGGCCCTCCCAACTTGTAGTACAATGGACATGTTTGCACTTTCACGCTGTATTTTTCAATCTGAGGAAGCCCATATCACATGAAACGATCAGAAATCATTGTAAGAAAGGTTTCTGGGCAGGCATGGCTGAGAAGGAGAGCCTTAACCTTGATTATGAAACAGAGAAATGAGAGGGAGAAAGAGAAAACAAACAGCTTGTGTGAGTACTGTTCCAGGGCCCTAGAATCTTCTTTTCAGAACAACACAGTCTATTTTCTCCCTAATAGGTGCTGAGAGGGCACAGGTCTTTCTTTTGCCTGTTTTGTTTTGTTTCTACAATAACAAGACTTCACATGCCATTTAATATGCATGCCGGAGATTACCAATTCAACAGACAAGGAGAAGACACAGCATAGGGGACAGAGATAAGGAAAACAATTTATAATTTACTGAGTGTGTATTAACGTGGATATTTCTTTTCTTTCTTTCTTTCTTTCTTTTTTTTTTTTAACAGAAAAAGCATTGTACTTAACAGCAGTACTGAGGGAAAGATTGAAAACTAGAGTGTGGGTGTCAGCTCTAGAATTTGATGATTCTACAGCTGGTCCAGGCGGTATAGGCCTACATAGGCCAGGAGTTGAATTTTTAGTACAGGGTTTATTCATTGAACAAATATGTATTGAATATTCTATGTGCCTGGTCACTGTGCTAGGCAATGGAAGGAAAGCACTTGGCACAACCAGATAAAATCCTCATCTTTGTGAAGCTTGCAGCCTAAGGAGAGAGGCAATCTTGTGAATTTTCCACTGCAGTCCAACAGAGGTTACAAAGGGAGGTACATGGCAAGAGTCTGTGAGAGAGCAATTTGGCTTCCCATAGGAAGTGGTGCTTGTGCTGAGTAGGAGTTTACTAAGCACGGAAGAGGGAAGAGAACCCCAGGCAGAGAGAAGAGCATGTGCAAAGGCCCCATGTCAGAAGAAATCCTGGTGAGGATGAAGACCTAGAAAGGGACCAGAGTGGGTGGAGTGGAGAGAAAAAAGGATGGGGCGAGATAGCTGGAGAAGTAAGAAGGGGAGGCGATGCAGGGGTCTTGTCCTGGGAGTAAATGTGGAGCTGTGAATGGCTTTAAGCAGGGCATTGACAGGAACCAGATTTGGGAAGGTAGAGGGAAGGACATCTTCTGATTGGAAGGATTTGGATAACAGGAACAATCTCCAGGGAGCATTTCAACTTGACAACTTTCCACTTGGGAGCCCCATTCTGCCTTTAGTGGCCTGGAGGGCAGCTGGGACCAGCCATCGACCTCCAAGGAATCATAATCATTGGAAAATATTTTACGTGCTAATCCAGATGTAGGACACTGACCTTGCTATTTAATTACACAGATAGCATCACATTACAAGGAATTAGGCCTTTACATTTTCCAATGCTTGTCCCAGTCTAGGATTACATATAGCAAAGGAATTTTCCAGAAGACTGGTCATGCAGACTTAATGCTTTTTCCAGGGCTTGCCCCACTGCTTGGAAGGAGGGGCCCTGATACTATTGAGGTATCAAGAATCCTTACCTTCTCTTCCTCTTCCAGACTTCAAAAACCCCAAATGTAGGGCCGGGGATTTAGCTCAGTGGTTCTGATGCCTGCCTGGCAAGTGCAAGGACCCGAGTTCAATCCCCAGTACCAAAAACAAAACAAAACACAAAAACCCCAAATGTAGGGGGACAGAAAAGACCTCTTCATCTCTTCTATCAGCCCCAAACCATCTGTGGAACCTAATTGGTGTCCCTGACCACTGTGTGAAGTGTGAGGAAGGAAGAAGGTCGGGAGCTGCAGACAAGAGCTCTCCTGTTCATCCTTGTGAGGCTCCACAGAGGTGTGGGGAAGACACGATACAGGGAGAGCAGAGAATGAGCGAGCTCTGATCTCACGGGAAGGCTGGGAGTGGGGAAGGGCGGCAGTGGGGCCAGGTTCTGCTGCCATTGGACACCTGAGACTTTGGGATCTCATTCCAAGTCAGATTTCGATCCCACTATTGTGAAACCTCTGCGCACCCAGAACTCCTATCTGCAGCACTGGTGAATGAGGACAGAAAGCGGAAGAACATGAAGACTGGATGCTTCATCCCTTATACCAGGAAGGGGCCCTAAGTGAGGGGTCACATGATCTAATTTACTGAGTGTGAGAATTCAATAAATCACAAAGACTGTCACTTTCCCCTTCTGTAATAAAGGAAATATTTGGTCCTTCCTACTTCCTAGAATATTGTGAAGGTTAAATGAAATAACTGTCAAGTCAGCGCTTGAAGGGTATTCTTTATAGTGCTCTATAAAGATTAAATTAAATGATATATATCAATATTCAGGACGCTGACTGGTACCTAATAAGTATTGACTAAATGTGAATTAATATAATACAGTTCCCCCTTATCCAAGGGGAATTGATTCCAAGACCCCCAGTGGCTGCCTGAAGCTTTGGATAGTACTGAATTCTATATACAAGTTCTATGTGAGACATGGCAACAGTTGATCTGGTAAGAGACAGTTACCCAGTGACTAACAGGCAAGAAGCACATACGTCACAGATACACTGGATAGACGGATGATTCATGCCCTAGGCAGGATGGAGCAAAAAGGTGTGAGCTTTTATTATGCTACCCAGAACAGACACAATTAAAAACTTATGAGTTGTTTATTTCTGAAATCTTCCACTTAATATTTTTGGACAGCCGTTGGCCACTGTTAACTGACAACATGGAAAGGGAAACCGAATATAAAGGAGTATATCAAAATTGCAGTTCAGACGCAGTAGAGGGTAGGAGGCAACCATGGAGCCTTGAGACCCACAAGGCTGTGCTGCGCTCTTCTCAGATGTTCTTTGGACTGAAACTGATTCCAGAGGGTCCCTGTGATGATGTCCCTTAGTGAATAGTTGTGCTATTTCTCACAACTTTGTATTGTGCATGAACCAGGAAGAGAGAGACCCAAGAGACCAGAAGGAACCTCCTCCCTCTGATAGCAGATCCCCACCCCTTGCTCTGCTTGCTTGTGCTCAGGCCACTGTGGTGAGGCTGCCCATTGTGCTGAGCAGGAAGCTGTCTCATACTTGCTAGCTCTGAGGACACACAACTGGGACACTTTGGGCCACAAATACACAACACAGCTTCTAGCCCAACTTCTAGTGTTATTTGGAAAAGTGCGAAGGCATTTACTGAGCATATACCATTACTTTGGAGGACCAACAAAATCAGAGAGGTCCCCAGTGTCACAATTAAAGACATAGTAATAAGTTAAGGATGGATTAATAGATCAATATTGCCAACACTACCTACCATTTGCTTATCTGATTTATAAGATTAGAATAAACTTCTCTTTTTTTCTTTTTTTTTAACCCTTGGGAAAAAGTTATCCCTGAACAGTTTTCTATTATATGAGCCAAGGTGGAGCCAGGAGGGGAGACTCTGCAGCAGGCTTGTGGATTTGGGATCTGACCTTTCTTGAGGCTTGAGCCAGCTGAAAAGGAAGGGGAAGGTTAATGCACTCAGACCTCTGTGGGCACCCGGAGGACATGGAATTAGCTGTCTTGTGACACTGCTATTTTAAGACACTTAAAGACTTTTGAAACAAATGGCTGCAGCTGGAAGCAGTGGCAGGGAGAGGCCGCTTTGATGTGAACTCCTCGGCTCACCATCAGGATGACTGAGGTGCCTGGGACTTCAATACCACCTTCCACAAATGCCCCCACCCCGGCCCTCATGTGTACATGGACACACATTCCCATTCCTGGCAGTGCCCCATGGAAAACTCCACAGGGTCTAAAATAAAACACTCGAGATACTGTAACTCCGGGTGTTTCCAGGTGCCCCTCTATGCAAAGACCCCCCTATTCATCTTCATCAACCCCGAGTGCCCTGGGCTTTCAGGGTTGGTTCTCCCCCTCCCCCTAAGAGAGGACGGGAAACTGCCAGGCAGCTGGAGTCCCACCCACACTGCTGGACTGGCTAATTGATTATGCGGCAGCTTACTTGGCCAATCATGCATATATGGAGGTATTTTCAGAAGCAAAATGCTCTGTGTGCCTCACATGAAGAGCTACATGATTTGCAGGCTACACAAGGTGGCACGGGGCTTGGGAGAAGGCTGATGTGTCAAGGCAGGGCGGGAGAGGAGAGCCTGGGCACAGGGAGCTCCAAACCCTCACCTAAACCTTTCCATCCTCTGTCCCCTTCTCTTTCCTGCTGTCCCTTTCACCCTTTTCCTCTGCCTCTCTCTCCTGTCTCTTCTCCATTTAGCTCTCTGACTCCCGCAGAAGTGTGGTCTGTGCATGGGCAAGAAGGATATTACCCATCGTTTTTTAGAAATGCAGTCTCCTGAGGTGGGCGTGGTGGCCCGCAATCCCTGTAATCCCACAGAGGCTGAGGCAGGAGGATTGCTGCAAGTGCAAGGCCAACCTGGGTTATATAGTGAGTTCAAGGCCAGCCTGAACTACATAGCAAGACCCTGACTCAAGAAAGAAAGAGGGAAGGAAGGAAGGAAAGAAAGAAAGAGAAAGAAAGAAAGAAAGAAAGAGAGAGGAAGAAAAATGCAGACTCTCAGCCTGGTCCCAGCCCCACTGGCCCTTAGTTTGCATGTGGACAAGACTCCGGGTGAATTTCACGCACATAAAGTTGGGAAATTGCTGTTGAGCCTTCTTGCCTGTCTTTTTTCTGTTGCAGCTCTTGGCTTTCACTTGGCCCTTCTCACCCTTCCCGCAGCATCGTTTTACTATGTCCTGCTCGCTCTTGCCCATTGGTCTTTCCTTTACTTTTTTTCTTTTCTTTCTCTCCTTCTTTTTCCCTCTTCCCCTCTCCATTTCTTTCTTCCTTTCTTCATCCATTTCTCTTTCTCTTTTCCATCTAGTTCTCCACACTTTCCCCCCTATTACATCTACTTCTCTCACTCCGTCCCACCCCTCCTCTTCTTGCTGGGGCTTAAAAAACAAAGCCTTCACCCCTCCTGCCCACCGCCGCTCCTGGGCTCCAAGCGGTCCTGAATTCTCCAGCCGCCGAGTAGGCGGCGTAGGAGCCCCAGGGCCAGCACCCGCGGCGGGCATCCCCCGGGTTCACCTGCAGAGGATTCTTTGTGCTTATGGCGATGACGTGGTACTTGTAGTAGCACAGCTCGCAGCTCCAGCAACCCCGCTCGCTGATCCACTTGATGAGGCATGGCTGGTGTGTGCACTTGACCGAGCCGTCGCAGCGGCACGGGCTCAGTAGCTCCCCCTGCAGGGAGAGAGACAGAGAACGGTGAGCCCCCAGGGTCAGACTCTTAGCAGGTGGGTGGAGGCTGGAGTCTTGGTTTGAGCCACGCCCTTAGGCCAGATCAAGCCACCACAAGCAGGCAGGGATTTTGTCTGGAGACACCAGACCCCCGGAGGAGGTGTGGGCCCCTGCATCCCTAGCGTGGGAGCCAAGTCAGTTTGGAGACGCCGTGAGAAGACACAGGCTAACATTTCTTACTGCTCAGATCCTCCGGTTTCTGTGAACACAAGTGGGTTGTTTCCCGTGGGAGTCAACTGCAGTTCAAAGGAGGTGAAGGAAGCTCCCTGGTGGAGACTGGGGTGAATCGGAGGGCTCAGAGCCAGGCTAAAAGGACAGCTGCTGTCCGCTCCAGCCAGTTGAGGATGTGGGGAACTTTTCTCGCCCTGGTGATCAAACCTAGGGTCTTGTTCATGTTAGGGAAGCGCTCTACCACCGAGCCACATCCCGGGCCCTAGGGGGAATCTTTATGTAAAACCTCCCGATAGTCTAATGTTATTGATCCTAAAATCTGTAGTGAGAGCCACTTTGCCTGAATATAGAGCCCAGGTCTTAGCCTTTGCAATTTCCTGCAGGCCAAGGCATAGAGACTTAGGTTCTCTCCATGAGGCCTCCATCCCAGGTCCTTGAAGGAGGAAAACATGGGATGGATCTGAATCCTGGGAACCTTGGAGGTTGGGCCAATGCTCTTGCTGAAGGCTTGCATCTTTCCAGCCAGCTTTGGGGCACAAAGCAAAAGCCCAGCCGGTGGGCAGTGGAAGCAGGAAGGGAAAGTGTACCAAGCCAGATGGTATCAGGACGTGAACCTCCTTGTGAGTGGCCCTCACAGCTGGGCTTGTTTTCCAGAGCACCCCGGGCTAAGTCAGGTAGCCATGACTGAAGCCTGTGTCTTGTGTTCCCTGGCAAGCTGGCCCCAAATTGTCTCTGTAAGCCTCATCTACTGCTTGTCTCTCTCCCTCTCTTTGTTCTCTTCCCCTGATCTGTTCTGTTTTTTCCTCCAGGCTCAAAGTCCACCATGTTTGCTTATGAAATCCCTATCTGTCCACTCCTTTGCTTACCTTCCTAGGGCCATTAGCAGTTGGGTCCACCCACCTCCCCTGACCTGTGCTCCCTCTGACCTTGGCATCATCTCTTCCTTCCTTCCTCTCTGTGCCTCCCTCAGCTCATTTATTTTGGACCCAGCTCTTCTGTCTCACTTCAATCAAAGGACTCATGTGATGCCATGCACAGCCCAATGCCTGGCCTCTGAGCCATGTCCCTGCTATTTTAGGGAATTTCACCATTCATGAAGCAATTCCTTGTTCTCAACCACGAACAAGTAAATCCAGGAGCTCCTGGCCTCTAAGTTTCAGGTCTCCATCTGTATATTTAAGCATCTGTATATATTAAGCATGTGCTTCCTTCCGCATTTCTTTCCAAGATTTCTAGAATCATCTTTCCCTTCTACTTCAATTCCTGTCACTCAAAGCCCTCACTTTGGCTTGGATGAGATCTAGACTGCCATTTTGCACCTGGTCTATCTGTGAAACAGCTACTCTCTGTCTTCGAAATGGTTCTAAAGTTATCTCCTTCAGGATGTCTTTCCTGAATTTTCCAGGTTGAGCTCAGTGCTTTGATTTGTAAGCATCTTATGCTGAGTGCCTTTGGCATGTTCCTATTAGAGCACTTAGCACGTAACTGGCAGTGTCCACGCATATACCTGTCTACCCTCCAGGGGACCCGTTGGAGATAGGGTTAGGTTTACATCTTTGCATCCCTTTATCCTGGTGCTGAAGCCTTAGACCAAAAGACCCTCAACAACTTTTGATGTTTGAATGAGTAAATAAAAAATAAAGTGTCTGTTCACGTTTCCTGCACTGCCTACTCTATGAACATGGTGGCAGAAATGCTCAGGTGCTCAGCCCTAGGAAACCCTCCCTGGCTTCCCCTGTGCTCCCCCAGTAGAGACAGGCCCTTTCCACGTCCCGTCATAGCACTCCCACATTTGTCTCTGGGTCACTACATGGTGACCACCTCACTGTGTCCCTTTACAGGGACAATATTTTACTCATTTTGCATCTCTCACTCTGAGTGTGGTGCCCGGGACAGTGAGATACTCATTCCAGCTTCATCAGCTGAACACATGCATATATCTGTTTGATGAACAAGAGGTTTTGCTCCTCTAGGACATGGCCAGCTTCTGGCTCCTGGTGGGCAGCTGCAGTGCTTGGAGGAGGAGAAGAAAAGGCCCGAAATGCTGGCCACACACCTCACCCAGCAAGGCCTAACAGCCCTTGGTTTTGAGTCACTGTGCTATGGCTTTGAGAAGGAAATAGGAAGGAGAGAGTGGAGCAAGGTGCTGAGGGAGGGGCAAAAGCCCTCATTATTCATGGCAGCATTTCCTAGGCTCATTAATTCTAAAAGAATGAGCTGGGTTTGATTAATTGGGTTGTTAAGCAGCCATGTCAAATTGCCGATCAGGTAAAAGACATTACTTCCGGTCCCTGGCAACAGTACCAAGTGACAGCGACGGCTACACTCCTTGCTTCCCTAACAGCAGCCAGGAGAAAAGGCAGGAAGAGTTGCTGTGTGGGGCACAAATGATAATGACCTGGGCTCTCTACCTTGGCTCTGGAGATGGGATCACCAGCGTTCACCGGGGCCCAAAGCCTCCGGACACAGACTTGAAGAAGGTGGGAGTGTGACACGGCCTGGTCCCGGTGCCCGGCTAAAGGCACAAGGCCAGGGCGATGCAGCCTCCCCTGCAGTGACTTTCCCTTGGGGCTGGGTAACCCAAAAGACAGAATGGGGACTTGCTTCTGGCACTACAAGTATTAGAGGGCATGGACACCAAAACTGTTAGGTAAGTATATAGTGGATGAAAAAAATTGATCCAGGAATTTAGGGGAAAAATCCAGGGAAAAAAAAGCTATTATAACCTTGGCATTTATACATGTTTTGTGCTTATTCTTTAGTATATCTTTATGTGCATTTGAGAGGAGGGCCATAAACTTTTTAGTTTTTAGGGCTTCAAAAAGGCTGTAACTGGGGGGGGGGCGGGGATTTAGCTCAGTGGTTTCAACACCTGCTACACAAGCACAAGGACCTGAGTTCGATCCCCGGTACCCCCCCCCCCCCAAAGGCTGTAACTATACCCTTCACTACCTTTTACTGGTCAGATCTGTGTGTCTTCAAGAACAATAGAAGTGGAAATAGGCAGCAATGGATTCAAGTTCAACTTAATGAAAACGGTACTTGCAGTAAACCCAGTTAACAGCTAACTAAGATGCTGTAACACGGAAACTGAGATGGATACTATATCCTTTCCCACTTCCCACTATCAACATAAAAGAGATCCCTACTAAAGAGAAAGGTTAAATGATTAAGTCAAGTTCATAGAGTCAGCTAGGCCTGGGCAGAATGGAAATTTAGCCCTTTAGACATCAGCCTCTGAGCTTCACCACACCACTGCCCCGTTCTTGCTGTTCAACCCCATCTATGCCATGAGTCCCTTCTCTGTCTTCTCTCCAGGTCCCGCCTGATTCTGGGCCCAGCACAGTCCCGTCAGGTGTCTCCAAGACCGCCAGCTGCAGACCACCAGCTCCCTTCACCAGTATCCCCTCCCTGCACCATCTCCCATGGTTTGACACCTCATCATCTTTTAACCTTCTTCCATGTGGACTGCTTCCACGGACCCCATTGCACAGAGCATGTACAGACACATGAGAAAGGACAAGGCCCTGGCTGTGGGAAAGGATAAACTCCTCTGACCCAGCTCCACAGGCTTCAACCTTTGGGTTGGGAGGATTACTGTGATCTTGTCTTTGGAGCTCAGCAAACTCCAAGGATCAAAGGGGCTCATGAAATGCAAAGGGCACCAGGTACTTCCTCAGTGATCTGCTCAGAGCCTTGGGGCCTGAGGCCACCTGGGAGTGACCAAGACTAGAAAATTGGTCTCTATAATCCCCTGGCCCTCAAGGGGCACGGTGTGGGGGAGTGGTTAGGAGTTGGTTTTGGAAACAGGCACTTTGGATAAGATCCTCGTCACTGCTTACTGGCTAGGGAAACTGAGGCAAGCTTCTTAATCTCTCTGTGGCTCCATTTCTTCATCTGTCCAGAGAAGACAACACTTACCTCCTCAAAGGGTGGATTAAATGAGATCCTGCAGGCAAAGTGCTTGACACAATGCCTGGCAGGAGTGCATCAATGAGTTGTTAAAAGATTATAATTGGCACATTTTTTTAAGGACTTTAATTTCATCTTTTTTTCTACTACAACCCCGTCTTCCATTTGTACTGTCACTCTAAGATAGGTCAGATAGGTAAGAGAGGAGCAAGTGCCTTAAGAGTCAGTGGAACCCAGAGGGAGGTTAAGAGTAAAGAACTTTTTACAACAGTCTGCCCTTCTGGGATAAAGGATCAGAATTTGGTTCTTCCAACTTCTAGCCCAGGACTGTCCTCTGTGTTATCACAGGACACTGAGAACATTTGGAGGGACTTCTTTGTGGAAGCCGAACTGCAGAGGAGCAGGGGCCTCTTAGATTGAGGTTGTGCTAGAGGCAGCAGAGGACAAAGTAATCCTCTAGCCCTCCCTTGTGACTGATCTGTGAGGGAGGAGAGAACAGGCTGGATTCTCCTTCCAGCCAATGATGCAGCAAGCTGCAGGTGCAAGTCTCCAGTTGTTTCTCCATTCACAGATTCCTTTGTTTATTTTCAACTTGCTTCATTTTTTTTTCCTCTTTCAATCTGAAGCTCTTGCTTCTGCAGTCCTTAGGTTACCTAGTTGCCATGGCAGTGGCAGGTAAGCCAAAGAGTTCCCCTTCCACTCACACAGGTGCCAGCCATCCCTGTCTCTAAGCAGAAGGAAATAAATACAGTTCAGTGTAGCAAAGACAGCTCCACACCTGCTGAAGTTTGTAGCTCTGGGAAATCAGAGCAAAGAGGACAATGCAATGCCAGCCTTGTGGAGCTATTAGAGACATGTTC